CGCCGAGAACCAAAAAATAAATATTAAAAAAATCTCTCTCTCTCTCTCTCTCTCGCTTTAAAAAAAAAAGGATCGAACCCAGCGCCCCGCGCACGCCAGGCGAGCGCATTACCTCTTGAGGCACATCTCCAGCCCTTCCCTCCTTTCTTAATTATTGCCAAATGATTGTGTAAATGAATGAGCTGGCTTTTTAGTCAAGCTTCTTTGTCCAACTCCTTCTGTGAACCTTCATACACCCTCTGAACCTTTAGCACACCTTAGAACTTTTCACTGACTTCCTGAACATGGCAGCTGGACTTTCAGTGACTTTTCTCATTTCAAAGAAATTGCTACTGGCCACTTTTGCTCACATGTTGAGTTCTATAATGCATTCTCTTGGTAACTCAAAACATTTTTCTCTAAATCTGCTCCTGCTTTAGAAGAAAGAAGAAAATCTCCATATACATAAATATTAAAAAAGTAAAAACTGAAATCAGTTTCTACACTGTGTTCCATGCAAAGAACTAACTGTTGAACTAACTGTGATTGCTTTGGGCAAACACATTCCCCTTATCTGATTCCTTAAGAACATAAATCAAAACCCAGTACTCTGAAAATCTATATACAAGTTTAGAAGAGAGGCACACACCATGCCACAAATAAAACTGGTAATTATCTGAGATTTAACAGAAGATCCAAGAAAATAACAAAGTAGACATTCCACACTGAAGAAAAACCTAGAATTCTAGCCCATGGGAATCACAATTTCTTTTGATCCCAGGATTTACAAATGAAAGGAAATTTACTTCCCATGTAGAACATTTAGAAGCTTTCACACATTGACATGGAACTTCATTTTAATCTTGTGGTACAAGATTCTTTTTTTAATTGAAATGAACATTAGGGCAAGCTCATCAAACCTCAAAGGAGAATACATTTTAGAGTTTTTGTTTCCAAAAACCAACAAAAACCAAAGGACAAAAATGATGTGTTCCTCTTACATCTAGTAATTCAGAAGAGATTTTTAAGTTACCTATATACTGAAGAACATACCTACATCAAAGTACTTAATTCCACCTGTAAGCAATGATTCCTTCTTCATCTAATTAGGGGGGAAATGTGGTGCCCTTTCTGATATACACATCTTAAAATAATTCCTATCAAAACGTGAACGACAAATTTTGCAAAAATAGAAAAACCCATCTAAATATTCATATGGAATTGCAAGGGATACCAAAGAGCCAAACAATCTTAAAAATGCAAGAAAATATTGAAAGTCTCACTTTGATTTCAAACTTTCCTGTCAGTTGAGTACCTCTAATTCAAAAATCTGAAGTCCAAAATACTCCTGGGATAAATGTGACATATATATACATACAGCAGGGAGGGTCATCCATGGTTCCTGGCTCATAGCCTTTATTATTTCCTAAGTGACTAGAAAAATGTTTGGATACTTTGAGGCCCAGAAAGCAAAGAGTCTCTTTCTTGTCTTCTGTCCCCTTTCACATGTACCTTTTTCTCCCCAAGACAAACTATAGAAACTAGAATTTTTCTTACACAAGGCCGATCAGGGAAACCCTTAAGTCTCTTCTCTCCTTCCCCATCCTCCTGGTGGCTGCTGACTGACCTACCTTGTCTCACAGAAAATTAAGACCCTCATAATAGAAAAGGGTTCTGCCCCATAAGGAGGAAGGAATACAAAAGAACCCGGACAGGCCTCGATATGGGATTCTCCATCTTCTGGGATTCTCATCCGGTCTATCAGCATTAAATTATATGTGTGTGTGTGTGTGTGTGTGTGTGTGTGTGTGTGTGTGTGTGTGTGTTTGAAGGGTTAAGGATACCTTACACGGATCTTTGACCTACATTCCAAGCCCTTTTTTGTTGTTGTTTTGGGGCAGGGTTTGACCAAGTCACCCAGGATGGGCGCAAACTCACAATCCTCTCATCTTGATCTCCTGAGTAGCTAGAATTACCAGCACTCAGCAGATCATATCCTTTTCATCCAATCACATTTCAGCACATATGCAGTAATTCCTGTGTAATGAAGTCTCCATAAAACACAAAACAGCATGGTTCAGAGAACTTCTGGACAGTCAAACATGTGAAGGCTTACAGGAAGGTGAATGAGAACTCATACTTGAATCAGAAGGGTGGTTCACCCCAACTAGATGGGGATAGAATCTGGAGACCCATCCACACCTTACCTTGTGTATCTCTTCATCTGGCTGCTTGTTTGGGTCTTTAAAATATCCTTTACAATAAAACTGGCGAATCTAAATAGAATGTCTCGCTTAGTTCTGTAAGCCTCTCTATCAAATTATCAGATCTTAAGACGGTGTTCTAGGAACCCCAATTTATTGTCAGTTTCAGGATTCACAAGCTTTAGACTGGAACTGCAGTGGGATCAGTTCAGCAACTATGCCCTCAATCTAAGATATCTGAGGCTCCTCCACCTAAATAAATGACTGAACTGACCTTAAATAGAGGTAACCAGTTGGTGTCTACAACAGAACTGAACTGCATGCCTGGAGGATGGGGGGAAAACACCTACACAGCGTCAGAAGTACTCTTGTTGTTAGAGTATATATAGTAGAAGAAATCAAGTCTGAGCTTGTTTTTTTCTATACAGATCCAAAATCCAAAACGTGGACTCAGAGTATTTCAGAGTTCAGATTTTCAGATTAGGCATTCTCAACCAGTAAATACTCCAAAATATTACCAAATCCAAAAACTCAGTACTCTACACCATGTTCCAGGCAAAAACTCCAAAATCTGAAACAATTTTGGTTCTGAATATTTCAGATAAGGGATATTCAATACGTGCAAAGCTACGGCAATCAAATCAGGACAGCACCAGCATTAATACAACATACAGACTACTAGGAAAAGAACAGAAAGTCCAGAAATAAACTCTGCAAATATGATCAAATGATTTTCAACAAGATTACTTAGTAGGGAAGGGACACTCTTTAACAAATAGTGCTGGAAAACTGGGTGTGTGTACACTTTCAGGAATAATGAGACTGGGTCCTCACCTTACACCTTACACAAACACAAAAATTAACGCAACAATGAAACATAAAATATGTATCTAAAAAGAAAAAATAATAATAAGTAGTAAATAAATAGGAATCATAGACCTAAAAATAAGATTTATACAAAGTATAAAACTTCTGGGGCTGGGGATGTTGCTCAGTGGTAGAGTGCCTGTCTAGCATGTGTGACGCACTGGGTTCAATCCTCAACACCACACATAAATAGAATAAAATTAAAAAGGCATTGTGTTCATCTACAACAACAACAACAATAATAAAAAAGGATAAAACTTCTAGAGGTGAACACCAAGAAAGTTCTCAATGGTTTCTTATCAATGTTATGAATAAAATCATAAACAAAAGAAAAAACAAGAGAAATTACACTTCATCAAAATCAAAAACCTGTGCAAAAACACTTAAAAACAGATGCAAGGCAAGATGGTAAAAAATATTTGTAAATCATATAACTTATAAGGAACTGCAATCCAGAATGTATAAAGAACTCCTAAAACTCAACAAAAATAAATAAATAAATATAAATCATTCAGATTTTTTAAAAATAGGCAAAGGGCTTCCTCCACGCCCACATACTACTGACTAAAAATAGGGGTGCTCTGCTACAACCCTAGCCCTTCATTTTTTTGAGACAGAGCCCTGCTAAATTGTTGAGGCTGGCTTCAAACGGGCAATCCACCTGCCTCCAGGCTCAGGATTCTCTGGGATTATAGGCCTGTGCCACTGCAATGGGCACCAAAGGGCTTTGATAAACATATTTCCAAAAACAAATGGTCAATACTTCTGAAAAGATGCTCTAGATCAGTCATCATTTGTGATATCCCTATCGCTCCCACCCTCCCACAGGCATATAAAATTTTTGACACCATCAACAAGTTGGTTATATAAACAACACAGGGCATTAGCACTGTGTTCAAAGCTGAAGATATTTTCAGGGTAATTAACCAAATCGATAAAAATCTTGACTGCTTATATTAAAACACATCACTGTGGCATTTATAGCTAGTATTTTCCATGAAAACTCTCAGAATAAGAAGCATGAAACTGGGCACAATGGTGCACACCTATAATCTCAGCGGCTCAGAAGGAGGCTGAGATAGGAGGATCTGCTCAAGTTCAGAGCCAGCCTCAGCAATGGCGGAGTGCTAAACAACTCAGTGAGATCCTGTCTCTAAATAAAATACAAAATGGGTTTGGGATGTGGCTCAATAGTCAAGTTTCCCTGGTACCCCCACCCCCCCCAAAACAAAAAAAAGAAAAGAAGCTAGCGTGAGTATACCTGAGAAAAAATTTATAATCCTGACCTTAGAGTGAAATAGTTCTCCACTCAAATCGCTGGATTAATCATTTACAAATTTTCTTATCTTTGAAGACACCTATAGGTTACATACACATTTTTGTCTTAGTAACACATTAGTAGTTTCACGCAAATTTCATATTAAAATACTGTCTAGCATTTGTGAGGCCTATGTTTACTGCCCAGGACTGCAAAAATAGAAAGAAAAAACAAATGCTGTCTGCCATTCATTTCTAAATATTGCATATCTTCAGTTTTAATTTAATCATATTTTTAAATAAATTTTTCTTCTTTTGTTGTTAAGCTATTACAAGTATATTCAGAAAACTTCTTTTGTTGTTAAGCTATTACAAGTATATTCAGAAAAAAATATAAATATGATCAGAATTTAACATTTTCCTCTGTAGTCCAAAAAGTGATCAAATTTTGCAAAAGTCCATGAGTATCTAGGGGAAAAATAGCATTGTCTTAGTTGAATGAGAAATGCCACTAAAACACGTCTTTTAAATTATCCAGTCGTTTATATTTTATCGTAAAATGTATCCATATAATTTTAAAGCTTTCCTAAACATGATGTTCAAATATCTTCAATTATTTTAAAGTTCTTTATATAATTTTTAATGTCTCTATTAGTGCAATATACTTATACATTAACAGTGAAGTTCACTTTGAAAAATATGGAACAGTTCACAAATTTGTGTGAAACTCTTGCACAATGGTTATGCCAATCTCTGTGCTTTTCCAATTTTAGTACGTGTGTTATGAAAGCAAGCACCTTCACATTTTAAAAATTTGTTCATCATGCTGGGCACAGTGGTGCACGCCTGTAATCCCAGCAGCTCAGGAGGTTTAGAAAGGAGATTGCGAGTCCAAAGCCAGCCTCGGCAAAAGCGACTTACTAAGCAACTCAGTGAGACCCTGTCTCTAAATAAAATATAAAAAATGGGCTTGGGAGGTGACTCAGTAGTTAAGTGCCCTGGAGTTCAATCCCCAGTACCAAAAAAAAAAAGTTTGTTCATCATGATGTTTAAATGCTACCAATCATTTAAACATCATGATGAACAATCTATATCTTAGTTGAATGTGCACAAAATTTCTATTTCTCATATATATGTATCCTTCATGTATGTGTGTGTGTGTGTGTATGAGTTTACTGTGTCAATTTATATTAGGGGATAGCAAACTATAGTCCTTTGTACATATTTTTGTAAGGCTAGCTAAGAAAAGTGTTTGCATATTTAAGGAAACTACAAAACCCAAAATATTTGTTATCTGACCCTTTACAGAGAAAAAGTTTGCAGATATGCCAGTGGTTGACAACTTTCTTCTGTAAAGGTCCCAACACTAAATATTGACCTTGCATTCTACATTGACCTCTACAGGTGGCTTATACCTACTTTCATTTTATTTTTATTCATTTTATTCATCCCTGTGAATGCTTTTGTTTCCACCTTTCTGTGTCATGTTTAAATGCATATACCTAGATTTTACTTTATGACCAATCTGAGTAACTATTTAAATGGGGAATTAAATTTTGTCATTATCACTGCTACCAACATGTGTCAGTCCTGCTGTCTTATCACATTTTCTCTGTATTTCCCCTTTCCTGGCTTGTAAAAAAATTCACTGGGATTTTCTGATTCCTATCAGCTAAGGAAGTTACATATCCTTTTACAATTATTTGCCCAATTACTTCACTACTCTCAGCTGTCCCCCATCTGCCAGATGGGAGGGTGCTCTAACCCTATGTCAGTATGGTGCCACACACCAGTTCCATTAGGACCCCTACAACCATGCCTCTCACACCCATTGAGAAATGGCAGCAGCAAAGTGCCAGCCTCATCTCAGTCTCTTGCCTACTGAGTTTCTGGTGTAGGGGACCAGCCTACAGTGACTCCATTAACAGAGGTCAGAACAAGAGTCCTAAAGTGCCTACCCTCCAAACTCCTAGGTTAGGGCAACACCACAATTTCTTTTTTTCACTACCTCAGCTCTATGACTGTCACCTGCTTCCTACAGGTACTAATTTCTAGATTACTTCAGCATCTCCTATATAAAATCATTTGGTGTGTATTAAAAATTCATGTACCAACAACCCCCGGCAATTTGAAATAGTGTAATTTACTTTTTTTTTTTTTTACAAAACTGATAAATGCTGGCCATGACTGCCTGCTCAAATAACTGGGTTGTCATGTTATCTGTAATAAACAGACCAAAATTGAAAAATTAACTGTAAAAGACGATGTGCAATTTTATAGGTAATAAAGAGTTATAAGAATTGGATTAGCCAGGAGCAATGGTGCAGGCATATAATCTTAGCGGCTCGGGAGTTTGAGGCAAGAGGACTGCGAATCTGAAGCCAGCCTCAGCGAAAGCCTAGTGCTAAGCAAATCCAGTGAAACCCTATCTCTAAATAAAATAAAAAATACGTTAGTTGAGTGCCCCTGAATTCAATCTCTGGTACCAAAATAAGATAATAGGATTAATAAAGTCTTTGCTACTATGGCATACTGTCTAAAATTAAGAATCACTGAGCCTGGCCTGGTGGCACTAAGGAGGCTAAGGCCGGAGAATCACAAGTTCAAAGCCAGCCTCAGCCACTTAGTGAGGCCCTAAGAAACTCAGTGAGACCTTGTCTCTAATAAAATATAAAAAAGGGCTGGGGATGTGACTCAGTGGTTAGGCAGCTTTCAGTTCAATCCCCATTATTTAAAAAAATAAAAAGTCACTGGCATTAGCAGGGCACAGTAGAGCAAGCCTAGAATCCTAGTAACTCAGGAAGCTAAGGCAGAAGGTTTGCAAATTCGGGACCAGCTTCAACAACTTAGTGAAAAAAATTTTAAAACAGAGAATTTTAAATTAAAGGAGCGGGGGTGGGGTGGGGTGGGGTGGTCAGTGGTTAAGCACATCTGGGTTCAATCCCTGCTACCCAGACACACAAAATAACCACGAACAGTGAATAGAAAAGACATTTGAGGAGGGAAAAAAAAAAAAAAACAGGAAACAAATTTATGCATTAAGACAAGTTTGTTAGTTTGTAAAATAAACTGTTAACAGTCTCACAATAGTCACCTCTACCTCTCTAGTATTCATTCTTTACAGTTAACTGATTCCACTTGCTCTAAATGCAACTAAACCTCTCCACTATTCATTGATGGAATTTAAAAGTACCATGCAAAATGATTTGTGTTCTCTGCTTTTCATTTAATGCTGATTCATGGAAATTGATAATTTTTAGTTCTATAAAGACAGATAACTTTTAAAATACCATATCTGTAGTTAGGAAGGTAGTGTAAACCTTTTATCTTATTCTTATAAAACAAACATATATGAGATCGAACACAGTGCCTCTCACACATGCTGGGCAAGTGTTCTACCACTGAGCCACAACCCCAGCCTAAAACAAATAATTCTGTATGAAGCTTATCCTCTCCCCTCTCCTACATCTCTGCAAATTGCACACTGCCCTTCCCACATTAAATCTGGATAAGCATATATATCCATCTGCCATCTACCTTTTTATGGTACTTACACCCTCTGCTGACCTGTCCCCCAGAGTCCTGTCTATACCTCACAGTTCTCCAAATCCATACATACATGAAATATGTATTTCTGTCAGAAATGTCAGAAGCACTTTTAATCGAACAGTCTAATTACCCAACTTCCTAATTATATATAAAACTTAGCTGTTTTATATATACCACTGAGGATGCACTTCAGCGGTAAAGCATTTGCCTAGCATATGTGAGGCCAAGAGTTTGTTCCCCAGCACCACAAACAACGAACAAACTCATGCATAAAAAGTACCTGTTGTATTTCCCATCCCGAAATTTACTGGCACGTGCTAATTTCTCTAGCCTAATTGAAATATTAATTTTCAAATACATAAATAAACAACCCTGAATGCCACAATCAGATTTTTAAAAACAGAATTGGCAGTACTAAAGTGAGTTTCCCCTCAAATTTAGGAGCAGTAAGTGTGATTTTCCAAAGAGGGAAACTTGCAAGGGAAAAGCTGAGAGATGTTTTTCATAGTAGGTGATAGGAACAGAAATCAAAAGGAATCTTTCAATTATATACAAAAGAAACAGTTCTTCAAATATAAAAGGAACAAAAGTCTAAATCTCTTTTGCCCTGATAGAATTTAGATGAAAATGAACATCACCAATAAAAAAACTGAGCTTACATCAAAGACAAAAAATACTTATGAAATTACAATTTTATTCTTATAAAATCTAAAAAAAATGTTGAATTAATACTTAAATGTGTAAAATAAGGATTCTACCCTTGCAAATTTGCCCAACAGAACCTTTAAACCTTGGTTTAAGGGGACTAGTTTGAATAATAATTGCACTAAACAAAGAAAAAAAAATTTTTAAATCACTGAAATTGTTTGCTAGTTACATGCAAAACAAAGTAAAGCATCATCAGCATACAAAAACTGCTCTAGGCACATTTCAGGAAAGACCCAAGACTGCATAAAAGATGAAACATCTAACAGGAAAACATTTGATGAAGTCCTACTTTATAAATACAGTTGCAGCTGTTGTTAATAAAAACAAAAAATGACAAAAGAGAACTGAAATTCTCTAATCCAATGTTGCCACATTAAAATAAAATAAAACATTGGATTAGAGAATTAACTAACAAAACTTAGAAGTGTTTACCACTATTCTTTAGCATATGACAAGAATAAATGATTTGGATATTTTATACACCTTCCTAACTTACTTCGCAATAATGACATTTGCTAAGGTTAGTTACTTATAAAGTGTCTGATGATAATATTTGAAGAAATTTTCAACAAGAAGTAAATTTTTAAGTACACTTGCATATTATCAATTGAAAACAACTAAACAGAATTAGGCACTAACAAAGCACTCAATGCAGTCAGTAGTGCAGATACCCAAGGTGATACCAAATCCCCATGTTCCCTGAATATGGCTTTCGAACACCATTCAACTCAGACACTTAGATGGCCAGAATACATTTCAAAGTGTGGAAAGGGAACATTAAAAGTATGAATTTTGGCTGGGTGCAGTGGTCCACGTCTGTAATCCCAGCAGCTCAGGAGCCAGCTTCAGCAAAAAGTGAGGCACTAAGCAACTCAGTGAGACCCTGTCTCTAAATAAAATACAAATAGGACTGGTGCTATTTGAGTGCCCCCGAGTTCAATCCCTGGTCTTCCTCCCCCTCAAAAAGAAAAAAGGAAAAAAAAAAAAAAAGTAAAAGTAAAATTTTGTAAGTAAATTCAAAATTCATCCACTTCAATAACAAAAGGGTGATTAAAAATAAAACCAAAGGCTGGAGTTGTGGCTTAGTGGTAGAGTGCTTGCCTCGAATATGTGGGGCACTGGGTTCGATCCTCAGCACAACATAAATAAATAAAATAAAGGTATGTGTCCATCTATAACTAAAAAAAGAATAAAACTAATGTTCACTCTTATTTATACTGGTTAGCAAGGTTGTTTGTCATAGCTATCAAACTCAAAATTTATTTTCTTCAAAAATAAAGGAAAGGACACATAAGATACAAATATAGTTCAAAAACTTACATGAAGTAAAATAAAAATTCATCTTAATAGTAAAAAAAAATACACCTTGCAAGGCTACAATAGTCAATGACACGGCAAGGCAGCACAGACTTTTTTCTTAGTATAAGATCCCCAAAATGAAAATAAAGTCTGAAAAAGCAAAAGATCTTGTGGGGACCAGAAGTCTTTAGAAACTCATTCTCCACTACTGATGAAAACTACAGTGTTAAAGTAAATATCA